AACAGCGCATGACTCAACAGTCTATGTGAACCACCGGGGGCATATTTGCCTCTGTGAATGTGTGCGGTGTGGCTGGGTGAGTTTAGCGCAATAGGCGATGAACCACGTCACAGCTTACCTTGAGTTGAGAAGAGCAGAACTTGTCCTGAGCTTCCCCTAGGTCGACTCGGCCTCAATTGATGAGTGATGTGTGTGAACACCGACGCTGCGGATGCAGGTGCGGCGTGGTTTGTGGCCACAACAACTCGCCCTGCTGTTCAGGACCTCACAGGTGCTCGCAAAAAGCCCTCGCACCACGAGTCTGTGCGGCTCTAGAGGCGATTTGCGCGTGTGTGTATGTATGTGTGTGTGCGCATGTGTGTGTATGTATGTGTGTGTGCGCGTGTGTGTATGTGTGTGTGCGCATGTGTGTATGTATGTGTGTGTGCGCGTGTGTGTGTATGTATGTGTGTATGTGTGTGTATGTATGTGTGTGTATGTATGTGTGTGTATGTGTGCGTGTGTGTATGCGTGTGTGTATGCGTGTATGCGTGTGTGTGTATGCGCGTGTGTATGTGTATGCGTGTGTATTAAGACTGTGCGGGAGTGAGAATGAGTGAAAGCGTGATTGTGTGTGAGAGTGGATATGAGTGTGGCATTAGAATGAGTGTGAGAGTGTGATCTTCGTGGTATGCGGTAGTTGGAGCGATTAGCGTGCTACGCTACGAACCTGGCGACCCGAGTTCGATTCCCGCTCACGGCCAACATCGGTGACGATGATCTGAACCGGCCCTGGGCTCTCCCCTAGGTCGACTCAGCCTGGTGCGGTGTGTAAACATCGTCACCAGGGAGACTAAGGCAGTCTGTTAAGACTACACGGGGGATTCTTTTTTCGTGGTATGTGAGATTATTTAAGGCCAGGGCTCTGTGTTATTCGTCGTGTTATCGGGGTCTCAGACCCTCTGCTCATAATCATTAAGGACCTTCACGATGGTGGGCAGGCCCAGGTAAAGCTGCGTGACCGCGCGTCAAAGCCATTCCCTGTTCACCGTGGGGTGCGACAGGGATGTCCTCTGGCCCCATACACAATTTAACATCGACCACGTCGTTTGAGACGCGTTCCATGGCCGTACCGGTGGACTATCCATCGGGTACAGATGCAGTGGAAGGCTGATCGATGCCGCGGCGCTGTCAAGGGACGGTTCCTTATTGGTCATGGAGCGTGCAATAAGAGGTGGGGCCTCACCGTAAAACCCACAAAAAAGCACCTGCCTGGGTATTTTATGTCATCAAACACCCCACCCCCTCAACTCCTCATGAGTGATGGGGCAGTTGTGGATAGAATGGAGACGTTTACGTAAATGGATAGTGTACTTATGACCAACTCCCGTTTTGGAGCAGAGGTCTCAATCCGCATAAGGTCGAGCAGCATTATCGTTTCATCATCTGTGGAAGCTACCTGGCCTGTTGCTCCATACGAAGCTCCATGTCTTCTCGACCACATGTATGCCCTCCCTTCTCTTTGCTTGCGACACCTGGACCCCTAGAAAGGAATATACATGCCAGTTTGAAACATTCATACTGGCCTGCTTACGATCATCCATTCTGGGTTCAACTGGACTTGGATTGTGCGAGCTCACAGATCCTTGAAAGATCTGGACACCGTCCCATCAGTTAACTCTTCCGGCAAGCAAGGCTGCGTTGGCTGGGTCATGTAACCCGCATGCTTAGACACTGAATGTTTGGTCGGATAGAGGGGGCTAAACAGCCGCGACACGTCCTAGGGAGGAGGTGGGCTAATATACAGGAGGATGTGGAGCTGAGTGGACTTACCGATGACTGGCACCAGCTGAGATTGGCCCCTGTGGAGGAGGCTCGTTAAGGACGCTACTGGGTTGTTGGAGGCAGTCGCCCTCCGCCAATAGCGGAGGGTAGAAGAGCGACGCTCACAAACAACGAGCAGAGCGCCGTGCAGCTAAAGTCGGCACAGTGGGGAGCACAGGTGGTGCGTCTGTCAGGCATCTCAGTTAACCCATAGCACTTGGGTCTGCGCTGTGACCTGCCGGCGAGAACTTCGACACCTCACCTTGCCACATGGTGGATCTAGCTTGGCACAGGCGCTGTGGTGGCATCAGTGTCCAATGCGGCTGTTGTTATTGTTATGTATGTTGAACTTATATTCTTGGTTCTTTCGGTGAAGTCACGTTGAAGGGAAACAATAAATAATAAAAAATATATAAAACAATACAATTCTCACGACGTTTCGACTGCAACACAAGCAGTCATCATCACCATCATCATCACCTGATGATGACTACTTGTGTTGCAGTGGAAACGTCGTGAGAATGTTATTGTTTAATATATTCTTATTTTTTTGGTTCCCTTCAACGTGACTTTACCGAAAGAACCAAGAATATGAATCACTGCAGTCACGAAAGTTTTAAATCAAAATGTATGTTGAACTTCTTTCGCACCGTTCGTAGCCAACCGTGCTAATCGGAGGGAAGTACATCGGACTAAGCGCACAAAAAGCAGCTTTAAGGAAATTAGTTTTCAAACAAGATTTTTAAAAAAGTGCATTGTGAGTAGGCTCCAGTGTGCGGGTTTACCGGTTGTTGACAGAGGAGCGATGCAGAGTGAAGTGAGCGAGCGTGAATGCGAGGGAGGTGAGAGACGCTGAGGTTGAGTGGCTGAGCGAGGTGGACGTGAGACTGCCGTGGTGATGGGTAAGAAGGGGGACGTCGCGGAGTGGTTGACAGAGAGAAAAGAGAGAGAGATGCAGGGAGCGAGTGCACTGAGCGAGCGAGCGTTTAAGAGAGCGAGGGGAGAGACGCAGAGAGTGCGTGGTGGAGAGTGTACGGAGTTCGATTCCCGCTCACGGCCAACACCACGGTGACGATTATCTGAACCGGTCCTGGGCCTCCTCCACCTAAGTCGACTCAGCAACGAATGAGTACCTGGTGCGGTGCGTCGTAAACATCACCACTGGGGGAGACAAAGGCGGCCGGGCGTGGTGTTGGCCACCCATCCACCCCCAGGTCATGTGCCACAGTTCCAGCCGGCCTGTCACTCGCTCACGGCACTTGCCCCAAGGGTCTGTTCAAGTTCTTCTACAGGGGGAACTTTGTCTTTGTTACTCTAGACCAGGGGTGGGGAACCCATTTTCTGTCAATGGCCATTTGTATATTTATATAACATCATTCGCGGGCCATGCAAAATGATCAACTTGAAAATTAGCCTGTTATATTTGGTCAAACATTTGATAAACTCGCCCCTAATGCGATGGCTGGAACTGCTTCTCTTTGGCGAGGCGTGTGATGATGTTAGCTGGTATTGATGATGTTAGCTGGTATTGATGATAATGTTGCTACTCGCAACTGCTTTTCCAGGTTTGCTCCTAGATTTATTGAATTCCGAGTCCCGCCTGCGGTTGCCTTGGCAGGGCCAGAGACCAAATGATTTCGCGGGCCGGACGTTCCCCACCCCTGCTGTAGACGGTGTAGACGGACCCCCCCCCCCACCCCGAGTGGTTGCGTTGTGAGGGTCGCGGTGGGCGAGTGCGAGACGGAGGAGGAGGAGGAGAGTCGCGGTGCCCTCCTCGCCACCGGCCTCATCTCCCCGCACTGTATGCCGGTGTGCGGGTGGAACGACGATTATCTGAACCCCCCACGTGACGTTCGGTCGACTCGGCCTCGAACGCGTTAACCCTGGCGCGGTGTTTATAAACGTCGCCACTCGGGAGACAAAGGCGGCCGGGCGTGGTGCTGGCCATGCGGGGGGTGGGATCTTTGTTTTTGTTCTGCGGCGGCAGCGGCGGCCGCTTCTACTCCGCGTTGCTCGCTCTGATTCGGCGTAAACGTCGGAGATGAACAGAACGCCACGGGCGGAATCCGTGGCGTTTCCACCGCACTCCAATCGCGGACGGCTCAGCGCCTTCACGGATAACTTCCATCTCCTCCCCACGGGGGCGACAGGGTTGCCGGGTAGGGGTCAGGGTTTGTGTTTTGGGGGTAGGGGGTCAGAGGTGGGGTTATGTATGGGGGGCTTTAGGAAGAGGTTGTAGCAGGCTGAGTGTTAATGAGTAAGAGTTGGGCTATGTATGGGGGGCTTTAGGTAGAGGTTGTGGCAGGCTGAGTGTTAATGGGTAAGAGTTGGGTTATGTATGGGGGGCTTTAGGTAGAGGTTGTAGCAGGCTGAGTCTTAATGGGTAAGAGTTGGGTTATGTATGGGGGGCTAGAGGTAGAGGTTGTAGCAGGCTGAGTGTTAATGGGTAAGAGTTGGGTTGTGTATGGGGGGCTAGAGGAAGAGGTTGTGGCAGGCTGAGTGTTAATGGGTAAGAGTTGGGTTGTGTATGGTGGGCTTTAGGTAGAGGTTGTAGCAGGCTGAGTGTTAATGAGTAAGAGTTGGGTTGTGTATGGGGGGGGGGGGTAGAGGTAGAGGTTGTAGCAGGCTGAGTGTTAATGGGTAAGAGTTGGGTTATGTATGGGGGGCTTTAGGTAGAGGTTTGTAGCAGGCTGAGTGTTAATGAGTAAGAGTTGGGTTATGTATGGGGGGCTTTAGGTAGAGGTTGTGGCAGGCTGAGTGTTAATGGGTAAGAGTTGGGTTATGTATGGGGGGGGGTAGAGGTAGAGGTTGTAGCAGGCTGAGTGTTAATGGGTAAGAGTTGGGTTATGTATGGGGGGGGGTAGAGGTTGTAGCAGGCTGAGTGTTAATGGGTAAGAGGTAGGGTTAAGAAGAGGGTATACGTGGGGTGGAGGTATGATAACAGGGGGTGTATGTGTGTTGGACTTCTTTCGCGCCGTACGTAGCCAACCGTGCTAATCGGAGGTGCGGGTAGAGTCGGGGCCAAGGTTGATAGGGGTATGGCTTGGTGTGTGGCTGTGATTGGAGGTATGATTACGGGAAGGGGTAAGGGTAGGGGTTCGGGGCAAGGGTTGGGTTTACTGAGGGCTGCGATTGGAGGTGGGGGGAGGGGCCGTGCCCTGATGCCACAGTCACCGTGCCCGGCCCAACCTTGGACCCCCCCCACCCTCCGCCCTGCTCCTCTGTACCTTGAGCCCGGCTCGTAATGGACAACTCGAGACAACTCGAGCGCAGAGGTGCCGGGGTGGGGGCCCTGGTGAGGGCGCCCCGTGGGGAGTCCAGAGACCCGCCATGGCAATGCGGAATGTCCACCAGCCGGCGCTCGGTATCTTTTCATCAGCGCCGTCACGTGAAGCGTGCGTACCCAAGGTGGCGTCTGCATTGAGCCGCAATGGGCCGCTTGCCCTCCACGCGACTTTCTCCCCTCTCCCCTTCCCACCTCGAGAGGTGCCGTCTCGCGGAACCTCGGGGCCCACTCGTTGGCGAAGGCGCCCGCGTAAATCCCCGGGGCAAGCTTCAGGAATGCGGCGTGCAATGATTTACCCCGGGATTAGCGTCGGAGCCGCCGCGCTGCGCCGCCTTCCCAAGCGATTCATCAATTATTGACTGGGCGAATCGGCGAGCCGTGTTCGTACGAGTGTTGCGGCGCTACGGAGCATTAATTATTGACGCGGCGCAGGTAAAACATTCACTCACCTGCCGTCTCCCGCACATCGACCCCCCCCCCCAGTCGCGCTCCGAATCCTCCCTCGATCGTCGTCATCGCGCGCGGCTCCCACCTCTTACAACCACCTCCTCCACCTCCTCGTCCTCCTCGTGGCGCTCGCAGGTGCGGACGCGTGGGTTACGTCGCGCCGCGGTGATGGGCGACGTGATGGGGGAGACGAGGAGTGATGGGTGGGAGGTGATGGGGGAGGTGATGATGATGATGATGGGAGAGGCGAGGAGTGATGGGTGGGAGGTGATGGGGGAGATGATGATGATGGGAGAGGCGAGGAGTGATGGGTGGGAGGTGATGGGGGAGATGATGATGATGGGAGAGGCGAGAAGTGATGGGTGGGAGGTGATGGGGGAGATGATGATGATGGGAGAGGTGAGGAGTGATGGGTGGGAGGTGATGGGGGAGATGATGATGGGAGAGGCGAGGAGTGATGGGTGGAAGGTGATGTCGAGTGAGAGTGATGATGATGGGAGAGGCGATGCCTGCCGAGTGATGGATGTGGGATGGTGGCCGATGGCTGCCGAGTTTGAGACGATAGAGGAGGGCTGACGGGGCGCGAGGTCTGACGTGATTAATGAGGTGATGGGTGTGCATTGCTGGTGATGGGCGAAGAGTGATGGGTGCCGTGTGTCTAGTGAAGAGTGATGAATGTAGGATGGTGGGCGATGGGTGAGAATGGTGAGTGACGGATGTGTGGCCTAGGTGATTGGTGTGTGGCAGAGAGAATGAGGTTATGAGTTCGTCATGATGTGTTCAGGGCGATGGACATTGGTTCAGCGTGAAGAGTGAGGATGATGGGTGGGGGTGATGGTAATAGTTCATGGTGATGTGCGATGGTTGGTGGTGATGAGGTAAGGTTGATGGTTAATCGTGATGAGTGATGGTAAATGGTGAAATGTGGTGGTTCATGGTGATGTGCGATAATGAGTGACGGATATTGGCAATGTGTAATTTGATGGTCGTTATGTGATAATTATGGGTGGTGATGGAATTATATTTGTTGATGGTGATCTCAGTGGAGCGAGAAGTCCATTCGCACCAACCTCCATGGGGGGGGGGGCGGGTGGTGTGGGGGGGGGGACGCTCATTCACGTGACCGGCCAAAGGCATTCACAGATTAGGCGCTCCAACTCTGGAGGTGGGCAGAGAGGTGGGGGTAATGGCAGCGAGTTAGGCTGGGCAGGGAGGCGGGGAGGGGTCAGGGAGACCGGCGGATCAGAGTGCCGGTCTCCGGGCAAGCACTGTGGAGTGAGTGGAGCCGTGAAGAGTCTCGACCGAGGGGAGCGGGTGGGAGCGTGCGGGGTGACGTCACCACGCGTCCGTGGGTGCGCGTCTTGTCACCTGTCGCGGTGCCTAAACATTAGCACCGGGGAGACAAAGGCGGCCGCGCGTGGTTCTAGCCACACCCCGCACCTTCGTGGGGTGCGCCGTTTCGGCCTTCGTGGGTGCTCGCAAGCGGCACTTTGCCAACGGCAGCCTTGCATGGGCTTACACGTGGTGCCTTCTCGAATGCGTGCGTGTGTGTGTGTGACGTGACCTCAGCCTGTACCTAGCCTGGCACAGGCGCCGTGGTGACGTCACCACAACTGAGCGAACGAGGCTGTTGTTGTGTGTATGAGTGTGTGGCCTCAAGGTGCACATGGCCTGGCACAAGCGTCGTGGTGACGTCACCGCCACTTAGTGGCGAATGGCGGTTGTTGTAGTCGTAGGTGTATATGTGTGTGTTCACAGTCTCTGTGTGTGTGTGTGTACGTTGGTAAATATCCCCCGACAAGAGGCAGAGAGCAAAGGTCCCGGGCGGGGAGGTGGCAGAGAGAGATGCGGGGGTGGGGGGGGTCCATAGGGCGAGGAGGACAATGCGGTGACACACGCAGCTGGTTCACTCTGTCCCACTCCATATGTTTCGGAACGCTGCTCGGAGTCGTGAGAATCGGCGTAAGGCACTACCACTAAGAGTACCAGGTACGTCTGTCCATGACGAATCCGTAGTAGTTTACCCCCCCTCCCGCCACGTTCATATAATCGTAAGAGCAGGGGGGGGGGTTATGAACATAGGGCACGACGAGGCGAGGTGGATGTGGCGTGCCACTTGAATTACTGGAATGTTCCCGACTGTTCCCGGATGATTGACAGACCTGGTTGGAACTCTAGAAGGGTTAGGGCGAAACTACTACGGTCGGGGTTTAGGAAAGTTTGCGGTTAAGGCGAGAGAACGGTTATGGCTTGGGCAGGGTTAGGGCATGGCTAGGGTTAGGGCAGGTACAGGGCGAGGGCATGGTTAGGGTTAGGGCAGGTACAGGGCAAGGGCATGGCTAGGGTTAGGGCAGGTACAGGGCAAGGGCATGGCTAGAATTAGGGCATGTACAGGGCGAGGGCATGGTTAGGGCATGGCTAGGATTAGAACATGGGCGATGACTATGGCAGGTTTAGGGCCTGGCTAGGATAAGGCAAAGTGGTTAAAGGCAGGTTATGGGGGCATGGTTAGGGCAGGGTTAGGGCATGGTTTGGGCAGGGCTAGGATTAGGTTAAGAGCTAATTGAATACATCTGGCTATGACAGACACCGTCGATGGCTTCTCGCAACTCGTAACGCACAGACGCAGTCGCGTCTCCTGCTCTCAACCGCCCACCCACCCCTATTCGAGTTCGGGAAAGGCTGAGCAAGTAAGAATTGAGTGAGTGGTTGAATGAGAGCGTGAGTGAATTGGTGAGTGATTGAACGAGAGCGTGAGTGAATTGGTGAGTAATTGAACGAGAGCGTGAGTGAATTGGTGAGTGATTGAACGAGAGCGTGAGTGAATTTGGTGAGTGATTGAACAAGAGCGTGAGTGAATTGGTGAGTGATTGAACGAGAGCGAGTCAATTTGGTGAGTGATTGAACGAGAGCGTGAGTGAATTTGGTGAGTGATTGAACGAGAGCGTGAGTGAATTTGGTGAGTGATTGAACGAGAGCGTGAGTGAATTGGTGAGTGATTGAACGAGAGCGTGAGTGAATTGGTGAGTGATTGAACGAGAGCGTGAGTGAATTGGTGAGTGATTGAACGAGAGCGTGAGTGAATTGGTGAGTGATTGAATGAGCGCGTGAGTGAATTGGTGAGTGATTGAACGAGAGCGTGAGTTAATTTGGTGAGTGGTTGAACGAGAGCGTGAGTGAATTTGGTGAGTGATTGAACGAGAGCGTGAGTGAATTGGTGAGTGATTGAACGAGAGCGTGAGTGAATTGGTGAGTGATTGAACGAGAGCGTGAGTGAATTTGGTGAGTGATTGAACGAGAGCGTGAGTGAATTTGGTGAGCAATTGAACGAGAGCGTGAGTGAATTGGTGAGTGATTGAACGAGAGCGTGAGTGAATTGGTGAGTGATTGAACGAGAGCGTGAGTGAATTGGTGAGTGATTGAACGAGAGCGTGAGTGAATTGGTGAGTGATTGAACGAGAGCGTGAGTGAATTGGTGAGTGATTGAACGAGAGCGAGTCAATTTGGTGAGTGATTGAACGAGAGCGTGAGTGAATTTGGTGAGTGATTGAACGAGAGCGTGAGTGAATTTGGTGAGTGATTGAACGAGAGCGTGAGTGAATTGGTGAGTGATTGAACGAGAGCGTGAGTGAATTGGTGAGTGATTGAACGAGAGCGTGAGTGAATTGGTGAGTGATTGAACGAGAGCGTGAGTGAATTGGTGAGTGATTGAATGAGCGCGTGAGTGAATTGGTGAGTGATTGAACGAGAGCGTGAGTTAATTTGGTGAGTGGTTGAACGAGAGCGTGAGTGAATTTGGTGAGTGATTGAACGAGAGCGTGAGTGAATTGGTGAGTGATTGAACGAGAGCGTGAGTGAATTGGTGAGTGATTGAACGAGAGCGTGAGTGAATTTGGTGAGTGATTGAACGAGAGCGTGAGTGAATTTGGTGAGCAATTGAACGAGAGCGTGAGTGAATTGGTGAGTGATTGAACGAGAGCGTGAGTGAATTGGTGAGTGATTGAACGAGAGCGTGAGTGAATTGGTGAGTGATTGAACGAGAGCGTGAGTGAATTGGTGAGTGATTGAACGAGAGCGTGAGTGAATTGGTGAGTGATTGAACGAGAGCGTGAGTGAATTGGTGAGTGATTGAACGAGAGCGTGAGTGAATTTGGTGAGTGATTGAACGAGAGCGTGAGTGAAGTGGTGAGTGATTGAACGAGAGCGTGAGTGAATTTGGTGAGTGATTGAACGAGAGCGTGAGTGAATTGGTGAGTGATTGAATGAGAGCGTGAGTGAATTGGTGAGTGATTGAATGAGAGCATGAGTGAATTGGTGAGTGATTGAACGAGAGCATGAGTGAATTTGGTGAGTGATTGAGACAGTGAGGGGAACGAGTTCGTGAATGAGAGTAGCTGAATGTGTATGAATAAGTGCTTTTAAGTGAGCTCGCGATTAAAACATAGGGAGTTATTTAACGAAGGAGATTGATTGATTGAACGAGTGAGTTAATTCACGAGTGCGTGAATTAATTAAAAAGTGAATGAGTGGTGAATGAACGCGATTAGGCGCGGGTCTGGGAGCCTAGACTCTCCACGCAACCCGGCCACGTGGAAGAGTCCACGTGTGCGTGCGTGTGTACATGCGTGTGCGTGTACACACGCGTGTGCGTGTACACGCGTGTGTACATGTGTCGGGAGCGGCAATGCAGCGGTTTGTGCGCTGCGCCACGAACATGGCCACCTGAGTTCGATTAACGCTCAAAGCCAACACCGGTGACGATTATCTGAACCGGTCCTGGGCCTCGCCTAGGTCGACTCAGCCTCGAATGAGTACCTGGTGCGATGTGTAGTAAACATCGCCACCGGGGAGACAAAGGTGGCCGGGCGTGGTGGTGGCCACCCCTCCGTCGTGTGCCACAGTGCCGACCTGCTACTCGCTCACGGCACTTGCCCCAAGGGTCTGTTCCAGTTCTTCTACGGGGGGGGGGAGGGGGGCGGTGGATGATCTTTGTCTTTGGCAAAAGTCTGTTGAGGCTATGCGGGGAAATGTTTTTCGTGTTGCGTGCAGGATGACCGCAGAAGAGACGGGGCCAATGTCGGGGTGCGACGCGGTGAGCTCGGCCCCAAACGGCCCAGCCCTGACCACCCTCATGGAGCGGACGGGGTAACCGCACGCCGCCACACCACAAACCGAACCACGCACGCCACACCACGCACACTGCAACCGCACCACGGCGACCCCCCCACAACCGCACAAACCGCACCGCAGACCACGACTACAGCAGCCGTACCGGGACCACGTCGCGTCTTGCAACAACTAAAACACAGCCGCGCAAAAGCTGCGTCACAACCGCACCGCCAACCTGTCGCACCGCACCGTACCACGACCGCAGTACAGCCTCAACGTAGCACGCACGCCGCCACACCACAAACCGAACCACGCACGCCGCCACACCACACTCCCGCACCGCATCTCACGGCACCCCGCACGCCACCACGTCCCACGGGAACGCCTCTCACTGAGTCTCGAGGCTCGCTTTTAGGAGGGTCCTGCCAAGTTTTAGCAACAGGGGGGCAATGCTGCTGCTGCTGCTGCCGTATGATCCCAGTCGAGGCATTTGAGAAAGTGATCATGATTCAGCATCGGGATGTTTTAGCCGACACCGGTTACATTGTATACGGTGTGTCTTTTTTTTTTAACGCTATGGGAGGAAACCGGAGAAACCCCGGAGGAAACACATGCGGAACAGTGAGCGAACATACAAACTCCACACGGAAAGGCACCCAGGTCGGGAATGGAACCCAGGAACCTCTTGCCGTGAGACGCGAGCGTGTCACAACTGTACCACCACCACCACCCTGCCACGGCAGACTCACCGTCTCCGTGCCTTCACCGCGGTTACTCCGCGTCAGACGGTGAACACGAGACGCAGCCGTCAGACCCCTCTCACCTCGAGCCCCTGACCCCACCCCCCACCACAGGTACAGTATGGTACAGGAGAACGGCCAGAGGAAGTTTGGGGGGCCCCCTCCTGGCTGGCAGGGCCCCCCACCGCAGCGCGGCTGCGAGATCTTCATTGGGAAGCTGCCACGGGATCTGTTCGAGGACGAGCTGGTGCCGGTGCTTGAGGGGGTCGGACGACTCTACGAGATGCGGCTCATGATGGACTTCGACGGCAAGAACCGCGGATACGCGTTCGCCACGTTCTGCACCAAGCAGGTGGGGGCGCAGCACCAGCAGCACCAGCAGCACCAGCAGCACCAGCATGGTCACCGCCAGCAGCACCAGCAGCACGGTTCCCATCAACACCGCCAGTACCAGCACTACCACCAGCACCACACCGCCAGCACCACACCGCAAGCACCACAACGCCAGCACCACACCGCCAGCACGGCCACCACCAGCAGCACCACCAGCACGGTCCCCATCAACACCGCCAGTACCACACCACCAGCACCACACCGCCAGCACCACACCGCAAGCACCACACCGCCAGCACCACACCGCCAGCACGGCCACCACCAGCAGCACCACCAGCACGGTCCCCATCAACACCGCCAGTACCACACCACCAGCACCACACCGCCAGAACCACACCGCAAGCACCACACCGCCAGCACCACACTGCCAGCACGGCCACCACCAGCAGCACCACCAGCACGGTCCCCATCAACACCGCCAGCACCAGCACTACCGCCAGCACCACACCGCCAGCACCACACCGCCAGCACCAGCACCACACCGCCAGCACCAGCACGGTCACCACCACTACCACGGTCACCACCAGAACCAACAACACCAACAGCTTTCTCGAATTACATGGTCGAAAAAGATGTTAAATAACGTTGTAGTCAGAGGACATCCCTGTCGCACCCCCAAGGTAAACAGGGAATTGTTCTGACTCTCGGCCACATAGCTTTATCTGGGCCTGCCCATCATCATGAAGGTCCTTTATGATGGTGAGCAGAGAGTCGGGGACCCTGAAAGAACGAAGAACAACCTAGAGCCCTGGCCTATTGATCAGGTAAATAAAACAGAGATGTAGGTCCCGTTGAAATTCCCTACACCTCTGCTGTAGCAAATGGACAGAGCATGAGGCGTCTGTGCAGGACGACCCTGGACTAAAACCACATTTGGGGCTCTGCAAACCTCTCCTCAGTATGCCTGGCAAGGCGATGTTAAATAGTCGTCTCCAGGACCTTTCCTGGCAGACCGAGGAGGGAGATGCCCTGGTAGTTGTTACAATTAGTACAGTCCCCTTCTAAAGAGGGGGACCACGAGGCATCCTTACAATCCTGTAGAACCTGTCCAGTGGTCCAGACAGTTGCTATGATGTCACATAGGGCAATAGGGCAGTCTGCAAACAAACGCCACCCTCCCTCAGCAGTTTGCTTGGAGATCATCTCTGCCCGGCGCTTTTCCTGGTCTCAGAGTCTGGATCCCATTTCATACTTCCTCAACAGACGGCACTTCAGCGAGCCACTCACAGGGGGTGGCTTTTGCAATATTTGAGGAAACACCAGCACCACCAACACCACCAGCAGCAACGCTAACGCTTCACTAGCAAGGCACCATTACCACCAGAACCACCTTGCACCTCCTCACTCTCACCTCTTTACTCTCTGCACCCAGTCCTCGTCGCTCACTTACCTCCTCACTGACTCACCTCCTCCCTCACCTCATCACTCACAGACCTCGCCGCTCACGCGTGCGTGCGTGTGTGCGTGCAGGAGGCGCGCCGCGCCGTGCGGGAGCTCAACAACTACGAGGTGCGGCCCGGCCGCCTGCTCGGCATCTGCAGCAGCGTGGACAACTGCCGCCTGTTCGTGGGCGGTATCGCCAAGACCAAGAAGAAGGAGGAGATCGTGGAGGAGGTGTCCAAGGTGACGGAGGGCGTGGTGGACGTCATCGTCTACCCCAGCGCCACCGACAAGATGAAGAACCGCGGCTTCGCGTTCGTGGAGTACGAGACGCACCGCGCCGCCGCCATGGCGCGACGGAAGCTCATGTCGGGCCGCGTGCAGCTGTGGGGCCACCCCATCGCCGTGGACTGGGCTGAGCCCGAGCTGGACGTGGACGACGACGTCATGGAGACCGTCAAGATCCTCTACGTGCGCAACCTCATGATGGACACGTCGGAGGAGGCGATCCGCGCCGCCTTCGAGCAGTTCCGCGCGGGCAGCGTGGAGCGCGTCAAGAAGATCCGCGACTATGCCTTCGTGCACTTCTCCTCGCGCGACGACGCACTGGAAGCCATGCGCCGCCTGGACGGCGCCTCGCTGGAGGGCGCCACCATGGAGGTCACGCTCGCCAAGCCCGTCGACAAGGAGCAGTACCAGCGCTACCAGAAGGCCAGCAAGGGAGCGCCCGTGCCGGGCGGCGGCAGCGGCGTCGGCGCCGGCGCCGGGGTGGCCGCGGCCGCGTCGGCGGCGGCGGCGGTCGTGCCGGAGGCGCTGCAACCGAACTACATCTACCCGTACGACACGGCCGGGAGCCTGGCGTACTTCAGCTACGGCATGTACAACGCCACGGCCGTCGGGCCCAACCGGGACTACTTCCTCAAAGGTGTGACTTTTGACACGAGCCGGTGCGGGAAACTGCAAACGTGATTTGTGAGAGAAACCGTGCGGCTTGTCGGCGGTAGAGGGAGGAGCACTCGGGGCATCCCAGGTGGCGGGCCGCGCATCTCGTCCATGCTGGTGTTCAGGCCGCGAGCTCAGCGGGCACGTCAAGTACGACGGCGTCGTATCGTGCGGCCGATTGTCGCTCGTGCACTTGAATACCTGGCGCCGTGTGTAAAAACATCGCCACTAGGGGGACGAAGACGGCCGGGTGTGGTGTTGTGCCGGCCTTCATAGGTGTTCGCGAACAGCACTTGCCCTAGCAGGCTGTTAATGGCTATAGGGGGAATCTTTGTGTGTGTGCGTGTTATGCGTGTCCTGTGTACCTTGTGCCAGATCATGGCCATTCTTGGTTTCCTGCAGTAGCCTGTGGCTCGACACAGGAACGGAAATACACGGTCGACACGGGTACCCGGGCAACTAGGTGGGACGCAGGGTTCACCTTGACATTAGCCCCCCCCCACTGCTCTGTGACGGTCCTGGCGATGACTGCGGTTGAGGCCGTGCACAGCGATGTCACGCGACTGGAAGCGTCCTCGGCCAACGTGGCCCAGCTTCAGAGCGCAGCCCCGCGAGCCAATCAGACTCCAGTAGCCCTGTCCCCGTCCATTCCCCTGCAGGAACTCACCGGGGCGGGCGATCGCGTGGCACGTCCGTGCTCTCCGGCCGCACCCCGGGCCCCCGGGGCTCCTACCTTGGTGGCTACAGCGCAGGCCGCGGCATCTACAGCCGCTACCACGAGGGCAAGGCGGCCGCCAGGCCGGGGCCCGACGGGTGGCCGGGACCCGAAGGGGCCCTCGGGGCCGCCTCCGGGATGGAGCTTGCCGTGGCGGCCGCGGCGGCGGCGGCCGGGGGGCTCAACCCCCTCGGGCTGAAGCAGCACAATGCAGGTGCCTCCGAGGGGACCCCCACTCTAAGGGACCCCACACGGGGACACAACACCGGGGGACACGTGGACGGCGATATGGGGAACACGGGCACCTGGGACTCGGGGACGTGGGAACCCGGGCTTCACTCTGTCTGGGTGTTGGGTGCTGGGTGACTCCATGGTTTCTCGAGTTCACCTAACAGAACTCCTCTTGAATGCTCAACTATCCCCTGACCTTGTCTCCTTACTTGATGTCACCCATGCTTGCCTATCCCCTTACCTGTGCAAACATATCCTTACACCTTACTTGTCACATCACCTGTGCTCACCTATGTCCTCACTTTTCATGGTAGCGGTATATTCCGTCTCGCTCTGTGGCACTGAGACGTGAACGCTCGGGGGGACCATTGCCGGGGAGGGGGGGGGGGCATGGCCGGGTTCCTTTGTTACCGGGTCCCTTTGCAGGCTTTCGGGGCACCGACGTGACGGCTATGTCTAGCCCCAGGCTCCTGCAGGGAACCAAGACGAGGCTTGCCACGCACGGGATCCGGGAACGCCAACTCCTCGCTGCCGCTCCGTTGACCGTGCCACCGATTTCTCCCTCCGAGAGGGAGAAGAGAACCTCGTGGGTGGAGGAGGCCGAGGAGGCGGCCGCAGCCTCGAGACCTTAGGAAGGGAGCTCGCTTGGGGGCTGTGCCAGGAGGGCCCCGAGGGGTTGGCACTGGAGGGTGGAGCCTGCCTCGTGCCGTCTCTGCGCACGCGCCCACGCTTGCCCATCTCCTCACGCGCGCTCACGTCATTAATCTCCCATGCTCGCTCGTGTCCTCTCTTCACGCCCTCACCTTCGCTCGCCATCCGCTCACCTGGCCTCGCCGCCGTCAACGGGGCCGAAGTGCATTGCGCGTTATCAAACCGCGGCTCCACGTCGTTATCTCCGCGTTTACGGCCGCGCCATCACTGGGGGCGGCCTTGGCGCCGCGGGCTCCGTGGGGGGCGGCGTGGGGGCGTCGACATGGGGAGGGGGGGTGGTGTAGGAGCGGCGGAGGAGCGGTGCCGGGGCGAGTGCTGCCCACGACGTACGAAAGCATTGCTGACGACGTGGGTCCTGTGTTGGTCTGATGCACGGATGTACGCTGAACTTTTTCCCGCGCCGTACGGAGTCAACCGTGCTTATCGGAGGTGCGGGGAAAGGACAACAAACTAAACACAAAATGCAATTCTGAAGAACGGGTCTTTGTGTTCGTCTAAGGGTCCTGTGTGAGTCTATGGGTTCTATGTTTATGGGTTATGTCATGTGAGAGTAGGTGGCACAGGTGGTACATCAGCCAGTCATCTCAGTCATGCAACCCATGGACACACTTCACGTGGCCTTAACGTGCACCTAGCCTGGCGCAAGCCCTGTGGTGACGTCACCGCCACTTAGTGGTTAATTCTGATTGTTGTTGTTGTGTGAGTTGATGGGACATATCAGGGGACTGTCGATGGGGGGAAGGGGGTCGATGGGGGGGGGGGGGTTCCCTGTGGCCCCCTCTCACGACAGCCTATTGAAGCGAGGGAGTATGGGGGGGGGGCAAGACCCTAACTGGTGAGGGGAGAAAAGTTGGGGGGGGAGCGGGGGGGGCTGTCAGCCGCAACTCCCCGCGTCTCACACGGCTCTCGCTGCTGCATCCCCCACGTCAGGGCGAGATCGTGGGACGCGTTGACCTCGACTGCCCCTGTTGGGGGGGGAGGGGCGAGGCCCCCCCCCCTAGTCACACCACCCACGGCAGGTGAAGCAGCACGGCCGCGTGTGTGGGGACCAGATTGATCCCGTGCAGTAGCCCCCCTCGATGTCTTTAATCTGCCTGCCCCCCCCCACCACCCCCTCCCACACAGCGGGAATCACCCGTGAATCGGTAATCGGTGACCCCCCCTCCCCCTCCCTCCCTCCCTCCCTCCCTCCCCAAATTAGACCCGGGGCCCACTCGCGACCTGATCGATCGTCACGATTCAGGAGATTCGATTCGGGAATCAATTTTTTGTCGTAATCCCGCGGCGATCCCCGGCCGCGGGGGTTGGTTCACGGTGACTAACCGATGAGACGTTCCACTGACACGAATCGAAACGGAAGATCCATTCTGTGCGCACGGGCTCGGCGGGCTCGGCGGGGGAAACGATTTCCCCAACGAATCGACGGCGCGCAAAGGAGGCGCCGGTGATTGCGCACTGCGTGCATGTACCAACCAATCACCCGAATCCCCGCTCCTAGGTAGCACACGTGTGTGCACGTGTACGTGCGTGTGTACGTGTACGTGCGTGTTTGCGTGCGTGCGTACGTGCGTGTGTACGTGTATGCGTGCGTGTGTATGTGCGTGTGTACGTGCGTGTGGACGTGCGTGCGTACGTGCGTGTGTTTGCGTGCGTGTTTGCGTGCGTGTGTACGTGCGTGTGCGTGTGTGTGGACGTGTATGCGTACGTGCGTGTGTTTGCGTGCGCGCGGTGCGCTTAGGAGGCCTTAGTTTGGCTCCACGAGCCCAAGGCGATCGACCGAATCGCGACGCTCCTCCAAGCGCCACCTCCTCCTCCGTCTCTCCACCTGAGAGAACGGGACCCCCCCCCCCCCACCCCCGATTGGGCTTCCCCCCCCGCCCCAACGCCCTCCGCTAACCTCCCCGACTGCGACCCCACTCCCCCCCCCCCCCCCGCAGTGACCCTGCCTGGCCTGGGGCACCGGTACTCGGTGCTCCCCGCGGGAGGGCCCCCCCAGAAACTCGGGGACGAGTTCCGTGCGGCGGGGGTGGGGGGCACCCCCGAGCAGCTGCTAACGGCGCTGGGGATCGCGCCCGACCTGGGGGGGCACGCGGGGAGCCTGCAGGGCCTCGCCTCCCCCACCTTCCAGGTGCGATACAACCACGCGTACGCGTGCGCTCTTGCGCAACAGGTACACGAGCGTGTGTGTGTGCGCGCGCACGCACTGTCACGCGCACCCGCACGCAAGCGCAGACGCGTGTGCCCGCATGCTAACACGCACACAGGCGACCGTGTGAACTCGCCCGCTCGCACGCGGCCTCACGCACGCCCAGGAGTGGTGGCGCAGCGGTTAACTCACGGCGACGTGAACCTACGGTTCCTGAGCACGAGCCCAAAAGCTCAAAATGGCAAACGGAACAGCGCCCTCTCCGCGTTGCAACGCGTTGAATGGAGCGAGATGATCGAGAGATTGGGGAATAGAGAAGGCGGATGGGAGGGATAACAGAATGCTCCGTGGAGAAGGTGCCGACCCGAAGCCATGACCCACTCATGAATGATAACCCGGCGGTCCACGTGAGCATCGTCAACGTGAACTAACCCATTGATGTTGATTACCTGAACGCTCACGGTCATTGGCAACGAGAAGGCTGCAGCAGCTGTGATGCGGTTTACATAGCACTATTCAGACGGAGCAAAGTACAGTACAACAGTGGATTTTACTGCACTGCTGACAATGCAGCCCTGCCGCTAGTCCATAATACCTGTTATTCCATTCGCTTGCTGCTCACCCATCCCAGCACCAGAGATTCGGTCTTTGGCCAAGGCAACCGCGCACACGAACGCGCGACTTTTTGAACACGCAGACACACGAGCTCGCCTCCCACTGCCGGCGCCGAAGGCTCCGCATTTGACTGCCGTGCCGCTCGCTTGCAGGGCCGCACGCTGACGCCCGTGTACGCCGTGGCCCCGCCGGGGCTGCCCCGCATGGCGGCGCCCGGCCTCTACGGCCCCAGCTACATCAGCGTGGCCGCGGGCCTCCCCGCGGGCCTCCAGGCCGGGCTGCCCATGGCCACGGGGCTGACGATGCACAAGCACCCGGCGCTGCAGCAGATGGCGTACCCCTACGGCGGCTTCCTGCCGGGCCACCTGGCCACCGCCATGCCGCTGCCCCTGCAGGACGTGTACCACCAGCCGTACTGACGCGAGAGGCCGACACGCCGGTGGGGCGGCACGGATTTGTGAAGGGTGGCACGCGCCCCAGGCGTCGCGTCCCGCACAGACACGGGACGCACCAGGGCTACGTGTACACGCATTCCTGCGCACACACACATACGCATATAGCTGCACTAATACACAACCGTGCACACATAAAGATGCCCCATACAGCCTTAATAAACTGTTGGGGCAAGCGCGATTAGCGAGCACCTATGAAGCCCGGCACGGCACGAGGGGGTGGGTGGCCAGCACCATCACTTTGTCTCCCCAGTGCTGAGGTTTACACAGCGCAACAGCTACCCATTTAAGTCGACCTAGCAGATGCCAAGAACCGGTTCAGATAATCATCACTGGAGGTGGCCATGAGCGGGAATCGAACTTGGGTCGCTGGGTTCGTAGTGCAGTGCGCTAACCACTACACTACCGCTTCCCAAACACACACAGGCACAGACACACGTATGCAGAGGCACACACATGTATCCGAACATATGTACACATTAGAAAAGCCACGTTTGGCTACGTATGGTGCAAAATAAGTTCCACATTCATCCATACACCAGCATGGGGTCATGGTACAAGATGCTCTGCAGTACCATCCAACACCACACCTCGGTACACATAGCACTACACACACTACACTACTCACCGCAAAACACACATCACACTGCGCACGTCACACACGGCCGCACGCCACATGGCACACTACACACAGGACCAATTGTACCCCAATTGCCTGTATGCCTACTTCGGGAGAATTAACACTAACGTTTTATAAGACGGCGGTATTGTTAAGGTTTTAAGATATTGCTGTTGTTGCGCAAGCGTCACGTGACGCTTGCGGACTGCGCGTGTGTGTGAAATGTGAATCGCGGTCTTGCCGCTTCCTCAAGCAATGTGCGCTTACCTGAGACGGGTTATAGGGGTCAGGCCTAGGGGTCAGGGCTAGGGGGTCAGGGCTAGGGCTAGGGGGTCAGGGCTAGGGGGTCAGGGGCTAGTATCAGGACCAAGGACTGGAGGTCACGTGCTCGTATAATTGGCTAGGAGTGGGCAGCTATGCTTACGGGCCAGGGGTCACAGGCAAAGGTTGCAGTTCTCATCCCGTGGGGTGGGGGGTGTGGAGCACGGCCCCCAAAAGCCTTTCATGTCGGGCGCAGGCTTTGGCATGGATACCGTGCAGGAGAACTTTAGAATGTGCGTGGGGGAACGGGCTTAGGTAATTCACCAGGGGTATAAAGCTGGTTGGGGGGCTAGTATAACGGCCTCCGAGTCAGGGGCCGAAGTCAATGGGCTAGGGGATACGAGTCTAGGAAACGGGCTCGTGCATTGGGCTGGAAGTCACAGCGGCGGTGTTGGTGGTGTTAGGGAGTCGGGGGTCGTGGTGACCCCAGTCCCGAGTGAAGAAGTCGGTTCCCGAGTAAATGTGAGGCCTCTGCGCGTGTGGGGGGCGGCTTTCCCAATAAACGATCGTGCCGACTCCCACCCAACGCACCCTCGCTGGCGTGCGTGTTCTACATGCGTGCATGCGCGCGCGTGTGCTGTGCGTACTGCGTGTGCCGCGTGTGTGCTGCATGCTGCCGTGTGCGAGCGCTGCTGCGCGAGTTCTGTTGGGAGTACCCGCACAGCCACAGCCATCATCCACCAAACCCTCACCACCCCCCCAACCCAAATCATGCCAACGAGCAGGCCGTGTTAAGTTTCCTTTATCGATAAAAATTAAGAATGGGGAATGCGGCGCCGCTCGCGATCGCTACCGCCACGCCGCCACGCCGCCACGCGGGCACCGCCTCGACCGCCCGCGCCAGCCGCACTCGCCCCGGTGCCCGGTCCCCGCTCCCCACGCCGGAGCCGCTGGAGTCGCCAGAGTGCACGCCGCAGGAGCTCCGTCGCGCCGTGGCTCCGTCGGGGCGGGCTGGCGCCGGGAGGGGCCCTCACCGCTTCTTGTAGACGCACGGTTTGAGCGCCAGGCCGGGCAGCTGCCCTTTGGCTTTGGGAGGCGCGATCTTCTGCAGCTCAAACAGGTGGAAGTGCGTGTCCTCCATGTTCTGGCAGAACCGCAGGGGGCACAGGGGGCACAGCGCGCACGCACGTCAACAACCACGCGCTGGCTTCCTGCTCGTCGCCTGCTTGCAGTCGTGAGTCAGCGGTGTAAATTCCTCGTTCCGATTACGGGAGCGAGTCTCGCCATCGGACAACCTTCTGTTTATTTCCCCACAAAGCCGTGCTTATTTTATCGACCCCGGAGAGAGACGATGGTCCAAGTCGACCCCCCCCCCCAATCAGGATTTGAACTTGTGACCTTACAATTGTGAGCCGTTCACTCCACCGCTGAGCAGCCACCAACCAAGCCAGATGAGCGCACGCAGCACAGCTACAGACAGCCGGATGTTTACCGGTACATGCCACCATTGCACGGTCGACACGCACACAGCGGCCTCCATCGGGGTGGGGATAGTGGCATTAGGGGAAAACTCGCAGCAGCGTCAACGGGCCCCCGGCTCCCCCCCCCGCAGTTGAGGGCAGCAGCAGCAGTGGTGGTGACGGTGGTTGTGGTAGTTGTGGTGGTGAATGTCGTGGTAGTTGTGGCTGCGGTGGTGGTTTATGGGTTGGTAGGTTTAATGACAGACGGTTGTGGTGGTGATTTTAGTGGTGACGGCGGTTGTGGTAGTTGTGGTGGTGGTGGTTGTGATGGTGGATGGGTTGGCGTGTTTGATGATGGTGTTGGTTGTGGTGGTGATCATCGTGTTGGCAGCGGTGGTGGTTATGGTACTAATTGTGTTGGTGGTTATGGCTGTGGTGGAGGCAGTGGTGATGGTGGTGGTACCTTGGACAGCAGTTTGAATCCGAGCACGGAGAGGGCGCTGAGGAAGTTGCGCGCGTCCTCGAAGCGGCTCGCCACCTCGGCGATCATCAGCACGCCCCTGCACGGCACAGACACGCGGCCACCACAGCCTCCTCGTTCACGCGGGCGCCACAGACTCGCGGCAAACGCTCGCGAGCGCGGAGCGGCACCACGCGAGGAGGATGTCGCGCGCGGAGCGCCGTGAGGGGTGTGTCGGGGGGAGGGGTTTGGGGGAGGGACGTGTGGAAGGGGGGAGGGAGGCGTGCGGGAGGGGGGAGGGGGGCGTGGGTCACGAGGGCCTCACCCTGAGCGCAGCACGCGGTTGGCCTCAGTGAGGAAGTCCTGGATGTTGGTCCCCATGAGCGAGAGGCAGAAGACGGCCACGTCCACGCTAGCGGCGTCCAGGGGCACCTGGACCCCCGTGCCCACACAAAGACAAAGATCCCCCGTGCGGCCGTTAGTGGACCGGTGGGGCAAGGGCTGTTCGCGAGCAGCGCCTACGTAGGCCGACACGGCACACGAGGGGACGGGTGGCCGGCACCGCGGCCGGCCGCCTTTGTCTCCCCAGTGCTGATGTTTACATACCACACCAGGGATCGTAGCGCAGCGCACTAACAGCTACACTACCGTGGTGAGTAACGGTGTGTGGTGGTGAGCGGTGGTCGTGAGTGGTGGTCCAGTGGTGAGCGGCGGCAGTGAGCAGTGGTGGTGTGTGGTGGTGAGCGGTGGTAGTGAACAGTAGTGGTGTGTGTGGTGGTGTGTGGTGGTGAGCAGTAGTAGTGAGCAGTGGTGGTGTGTGTGGTGGTGTGTGGTGGTGAGCAGTAGTAGTGAGCAGTGGTGGTGTGTGTGGTGGTGAGCAGTGGTAGTGAGCAGTGGTGGTGTGTGTGGTGGTGAGCGGTGGTAGTGAGCAGTGGTGGTGTGTGGTGGTGGTGTGTGGTGGTGAGCAGTAGTAGTGAGCAGTGGTGGTGTGTGTGGTGGTGAACGGTGGTAGTGAGCAGTGGTGGTGTGTGGTGGTGGTGTGTGGTGGTGAGCAGTAGTAGTGAGCAGTGGTGGTGTGTGTGGTGGTGAGCGGTGGTAGTGAACAGTGGTGGTGTGTGTGGTGGTGAGCAGTAGTAGTGAGCAGTGGTGGTGTGTGGTGGTGAGCGGTGGTAGTGAGCAGTGGTGGTGTGTGTGGTGGTGGTGTGTGGTGGTGAGCGGTGGTAGTGAGCAGTGGTGGTGTGTGTGGTGGTGGTGAGCGGGGGTGGTGAGCGGTGGTCGTGAGTGGTGGTGAGCGGTGGTAGTGAGCAGTGGTGGTGTGTGTGTGGTGGTGGTGTGTGGTGGTGAGCAGTGGTAGTGAACAGTGGTGGTGTGTGATGGTGGTGGTGTGTGGTGGTGGTGTGTGGTGGTGAGCGGTGGTGGTGTGTGGTGGTGAGCCGTGGTCGTGAGTGGTGGTGAGCGGTGGTAGTGAGCAGTGCCTTGGCCATGTCGCAGGCCGTCACACGCTCGTTGAGCGCCACGAGGTCGAACGAGTGCACGTGGTTCCGCACGGAGGCCGCGAGCTGGGCGTCCCCGCACCCAAAGTCGGCCACCACCAGCGACGCCGGCCTGTGGGGCACACAGCAACACCCCACTCAGCACCCTCCACTCAGCACCCTACTCAGCACCCTCCACTCAGTACCCTCCACTCAGCACCCTCCACTCAGCACCATCCACTCAGCACCCTCCACTCAGCACCTCTCTCAGCACCCTCCACTCAGCACCCTCCACTCAGCAACACCCCACTCAGCACCCTACTCAGCACCTCTCTCAGCACCCTCCACTCAGCACCCTCCACTCAGCACCCTCCACTCAGCACCCTCCACTCACAGCAACACCCCACTCAGCACCCTCCACTCAGCACCTCTCTCAGCACCCTCCACTCAGCACCCTCCACTCAGCACCTCTCTCAGCACCCTCCACTCAGCACCCTCCACTCAGCACCCTCCACTCAGCACCCTCCACTCAGCACCTCTCTCAGCACCCTCCACTCAGCACCCTCCACTCAGCACCCTCCACTCAGCCCCCTCCACTCAGCACCCTCCACTCAGCACCTCTCTCAGCACCCTCCACTCAGCACCCTCCACTCAGCACCCTCCACTCAGCACCCTCCACTCAGCACCTCTCTCAGCACCCTCCACTCAGCACCCTCCACTCAGCACCCTCCACTCAGCACCCTCCACTCAGCACCCTCCATGCAGCACCCTCCACTCAGCACCCTCCACTCAGCACCCTCCACTCAGCACCCTCCACTCAGCAACACCCCACTCAGCACCCTCCACTCAGCAACACCCCACTCAGCACCCTCCACTCAGCACCCTCCACTCAGCATCCGACTCGGGAGCCTCCACACAGCATGCGATGGTGCCACGAGCCGCTTCCTACGGCCCCTGCCGACGGGGCAGCAGCGGCCCAGCAGGGCACAGGCTGGGAACCACGCGGTGAGGACCAACGCCACGGATTGAAAACGAATGTAACATTTTTAAGTATTTGACAAATCATTGCTGATGCGTATTTAACTCAAGAAACGTAGAACATTGTAGAATGACTCTTCACTCATGTGCGGTCAACTTCGCCCCCAGGAAAGTTTTGCCCCCTCCGAAACGTGCAGCTGCGCCACCCACTGCCGCCGCGCGTCGTGGTAGCGGCAGGGTACCAACGGGCGTATTGTGAACGTCTTGAGAATGGCTGCAATCGACCAATCGCCGCGTATGTATGGGAGCACGCACGCTCCCTCGCGCTCGCACGCTCCCTCGCGCTCGCACGCTCCCTCGCGCTCGCACGCTCCCTCGCGCTCGCACGCTCCCTCGCGCTCGCACGCTCCCTCGCGCTCGCACGCTCCCTCGCGCTCGCACGCTCCCTCTCGCTCGCACGGTCCCTCGCTCTCGCACGCTCCCTCGCTCTCGTACGCTCCCTCGCTCCCACGCTCCCTCGCTCGCTCGCGCGCGCACCGGTTCTTGATGGAGGAGATGATGCGCGAGAGCGGGTTCACAGGCCAGCGCTGCACCTGCGCCGTGAAGCCCTGGTGGTAGTCCCGGAAGGCCTGGGGGTCGTCGCGGAACAGGGCCCGCGCATCGCGGCTGCTGCCCTCGTACAGCTGCTGGTTGAGGAAGCGGAAGCGCGCTCCCTGCAGACGCTGCTGCATGCGCAGCCGCAGCGCAGCGGAGCGATCTGCGGGGCCCGGCGGGTGGGCGCCATCCTCGACGACGGGACCCCCATCCTCCTCCGCGTCATCGGTGGATCGCCTCTTTGTCGACTTTAGTTTCTCTTTTTTACTCTTGGCCACCGCGGCGACTCCTGCCCCTTCCTGCGCGTCACCGTTCTCCGTCGGACCCTCCGCTTTGCGCCGTTTGGGCTCCGATTTAGCGACCTTTTTTTTCTTCTTCTTGATTTTGCCGACGGTCTCGACGTCTCCGTCGCACGCCGCCTCCGCCCCGACGGCGTCGCAGCTCTCAGCCTCCACCGGCTGCTTCTCCTCCTTTTCCTTCTGCCTTTTGAGCTTCTTGGTTTTGTATTTGGAGAGCGAGGGGTCGTGCATGGCGGCATCCGCGGGCGCCTCCACCTGCCGGTCGTCAGCATCGCCCGGCTCTTCCGGCTCCTTCCGCCACACCAACTCGCGCTGCTTGTATTTGTTCCGGATCCGCCGCTTGCTCTTCATGCGGTTCTGCCACTGCTTCCTCGTGAGCGGCTTGTTCCCCTTCCTGCTCTTCTCGTCTCCCACGCCGCTCTCTCCGCCATCCCCGCTCTGCTCGTCTCCCTCGGCGATCTCCGCTTTCGCTTTTTTGCGAGGGGGGCGATCGTTCGCGCATTCCCCAAGTTCGTCGGCGGGGGCCGTGGCGGCGTCTCCCGCCGAGGCCGACGTCTTCGATTTCTTCCGTTTGCGCGTTTCCGTTTTGTCGGCATCGCCGTCGGCCGGGGCCTCGCTCTGGGACGGCCGCTTGCGCGTCCGCTTGCCTTTGGGCCGCCACTTCTCGTCCACCGGCGTTTTTCTACGCCGCGGGGTCTTGCGTGTGCTCCCCTCGGCCTCGCCGGCTCCGTCGCAAGCCCCCTCCGCCGCCGGCCCCTCCTCGGCGGCGCCGCGCCGCACCCGCAGCTTGCGCCGCCGCTTCCTTTTCTTCTTCTCCTTCTCCACGGCGCCTCCAGCACCGCCCTGCGACAACAGCGTGGTTCATGCGCACTTCGCGTGAGCCTTGCGAGCGGGCGCAATGAGAAGAGTGAAGCCAATGAGTGAACGGAGTGAGTGGCGTGAAGGGAGCGAGCGAGTTGAGTTTATGAGTGGGGTCCGTGTTCACGGCGTGGTGACAACCAAGATGGATGGATGCCGGGGGTGGGGGGGGGGGCACCGGGCAGCTGCTGAGAGAGGCGAGACCTTTGGTGGTGCTGGTGGTGGTGCTGTCGAGGAGGCCTGAGGTAGCTGAGCGGGGCTCGGGGTCTTTGGGGAGCGCTGAGGGGGTCGCCGGGCTCCTTTCTGCCCAGAGGGGAAGAGCGCCTTGGTGAGGCTGCGTCCCTCGTGCGCGTCGCCCCATTGCGACACCGCAAACATCGCACTCCTGCGTCTCCTGTAAACGCTGGGCACGCAAGATACACACACACACGTGTATATACACACACACGTGTATATACACACACAAACGTGTATATACACACACACACGCGTGTATATACACACACACGTGTATATACACACACTACACACACACACGTGTATATACACACACGCGTGTATATACACACACACGTGTATACACACGTACACACGTGTATACACACACGTGTATATACACACACACACGTGTATATACACACACACACGTGTATATACACACACACTACACACACGTACACACGTGTATACACACACGTACACACGTGTATACACACACGTACACGCGTGCATATATACACACACACGTACATACACACACACGTGTAGACATACAGACACACGCAATGCACACACACACACGTACACACACGCAAGATACACACACGCGCGTGTACACACACACAGCCGATATTCGCCACTAAGTGGAGTTAAAGGTCACCACAGCGTGGATTAAATACCGGCCGTTCTATAGGATTCGAGGTGGGGTGGGGGGTCAGGCGTACGTTCGCAGGTGGGGGGGGGGGTAAAAAGTCCGCGTGCGTACAGGGAGCGAATGAGGGGTCCAGTTAACAGATGTCTGCGTACCTACTCAATGGATGACCCTTTAGGGAACACTTACTAAAACAAAAACCACGCGCGGCCGCCTTTGTTTTACCAGCGCTGATGTGTGGATCAAGTCAGGTGTAATTGTTGAACCAGGTGAGACAGCGCGAGAAATCAGGATGGATAAAGTGGAATAGGCAAGAGGGACCCCCCCCCCACATTCCCTTGTCACCGCAATGAGGAGGGTAAGGGTAGGGTCCCAGGATAAATTTTGACTTAAAACTTTCGTGACCGCAGGAACTCATATTCTTTGTTTCTTTCGGTAAAGTCACGTAGACAGAAAAATAATAATAAAGTGAATATAAACAATACAAGCACTAATGCAGACTGTAGTGAGTGTACTGGCAGTCTACATTATAGACTGGCAGTACGCTCACCGAGGTGAAGAACCAGGCTACAGTCTACATTATAGACTGCCTGTACACTCACCAAACTTAATAACCAAGCTATCTACATTATAGACTGCCAGTACACTCACCAAACTTAAAAACCAGGCTACAGTCTACATTATAGACTGCCAGTACACTCACTCAGCTAAATAACCATTGCTACAGTCTACATTATAGACTGCCAGTACACTCACCAAACTTAATAACCAAGCTACAGTCTACATTATAGACTGCCAGTACACTCACCAAACTTAATAACCAGGCTAGTCTACATTATAGACTGCCAGTACACTCACCAAACTTAATAACCAAGCTACAGTCTACATTATAGACTGCCAGTACACTCACTCGGCTTAATAACTATTGCTACAGTCTACGTTATAGACTGCCAGTACACTCATCAAACTTAATAACCAGGCTACAGTCTACATTATTGTTTTTTTAGTTTTAAGTTTTTTTAAATATTCTTATTCACCTTATTTAAAAAAATAAAATTTCCTATCTACTTTACCGATAGAACCAAAGAATATGGGTCCCTGGATAGTACCGACAGCACTCGCCGCTGATGCCAACCGCGTCCGGATACCCAGTAACCCAAACTCGGGCAGCCCTGACTCGTCGTGGTCCCCGCACGCCCGCCACGATCGTCTCCCGCTTCTCGCAACTCGGCGTGTGGCGGCGGATCGAGCAGAGAGACACGGCGAGCGAAACGAGGAGAGGGGAGGGCGGTAGAGAGAGAGGCGATGGGAGAACGCAGAGTCCGAATGCAGGCAACTCCAGCAGACGCCGCTTCCCTGCGGGAGCTGCAATTCTGATGCCGAGGCAAGTGACCCTTGCGGCGATGCTGGTAACAGTGTGGGCGATAACAACAAGAACAACAACGAGTGAGCGCTTTGTTGATGTCGCTTTCACCTGGAACACTGAGCGCGTCTCCCCACGTCTCTCGGCTCAGGCTCCACCACGTGCTCGCCCTGCTCCTGCACGTGCGCGGCGCTCAATCCTCTTCCGGTTCACGGGGTGGGGAGGGGGTTGGAGGGGGGAGTGCGGCGAGGGGGAGGGAACTCACGTGACCGGCTTCCGGGGGTCACGTGACCGCCCTCCTGACTCTCAACGCGAGGCCCCCAGAGTCAGCGGCCGCGTCCTCAGCCGCGAGCCCCGCGAGTCGCTCTACGTGGACCTCGCGGCTCCCACCACCACAACCACCACCACCTCAACAACCACAACCACCACCTCAACAACCACAACCACCACCTCAACAACCACCACCACAACCACCACAACAATCACCACAACATTCACCACCACAACAACCACCACAACAACCACCACCACAACCACCACCACAACCACCATCACCTCAACCACCACAACCACCACCTCAACTACCACAACCACCACAACCTCAACCACCTCCTCAACCACCACCTCAACCAGTAACAGCTCCCCAGACCCCCCCCCACGCCCTCCACCTCGCCCCGCCATCTCCGGTGTCACCCTCCCGCCCGCTTCACCCGCCGGCCGCCCCATGGCGCCGGCGGCGTTCGCCCTCTCCGCGCTCGGCCTCGCCGCGCTCGGCCTCGCCTCTCTCGCCGGCGCCGCGCCCTTCTCGGCCGCTCCCTGGAGCTGGCCGCCCGGGGTCTTCGCGACGAACCCGGCGGTTCCCGGGATCGCCGCCGCCGCGTCGCCCAACTCGACGGAGCTGTGCTCGCTGTGCCGCTTCGCCGTGGGGTTCGTGGACGCGTCGCTGTCCCTCCCGGGCGGGGAGGACGCCCCTGGCGCGGGGCCGCCGCCTCCGTCTGCGAGAAGCTTCGCCTGCAGGACCGCCGCGTGTGCCAGAACGCGACGCAGCTCTTCAAGGACTACGTGGTCACGGTGCTGCTGCACTCCGTGCTGGACCCCGGCTCCGTGTGCGGGCTCCTCCTGGGCCCCGGCTGCGGCCGCCCGGGACCCCCCGCACGCCAATTGGAGCGTGCGGCTGCCGCCCGTTCCCAAGCCGCCCGTGCGGCCCCCCCCGACCGCCGCCGCCCTCGGCGCCACGGGACTCGGTTCTCTTCATCACGGACGTGCACTGGGACCGCGACTACGCCGAGGGCAGCCAGGCCGAGTGCGGGGAGCCGCTGTGCTGCCGGCGGCAGGACGGGCCCCCTCGCCGGGTCGGCCCGGGGCCGGCAAGTGGGGGGACTACAGGGCGTGCGACGTGCCGCTGCGCACCGTGCAGAGCATGCTGGAGCACACGCAGCGGGAGGGACGCGGCACGGGGGTCACGCACGCGTACTGGACCGGCGACATCCCTGCGCACAACGTGTGGGAGCAGACGGAACAAGACCAGCTGCAGGTGGGACCCCATCCCAACTTGGGGGGCCGATGACTCTTTAACCTTAGGGCCCTTGAGGGCCACTCTGCTCTGCGGGGGTTTGGGGGGTTCTTTCCCGCAGGCCTCGTCTCCACGGCCCCCAGAGCGTTGCCGGCACACAGGTCGGAGCCGCTGAGCCGGCACCGCCGAGTTCACGTCCAGGTTTGAGCCGCTGCCTGTGGTTAAACCGGCTTCTCAAGTGAAGAGAGGTTGTGCTCGTGTGTGCATCACGTTCACTTTGCTTCTGCAACTTTATTTTGCCCAAGTTCCAGGTGGGAGAAGGTTTACTATCTCATGCGACGTGAGATTGTGAGAACTACCGTGTCGACCAGATGTCGTTACTTGAAGTGATCTCGGAAGCCGTAGCTCAGTCGACATGTCACAAATCAAAAGCAGATATCACACAACATGAAGGCTTGCACTGCTCTGCAAAAGACGCAAACGGATGCTCATGACGTGGTACCTATTTGCACAATCTTGATATAATTAGGCATACATTAAGGCTGAAATAAAATGTGAAGTGCTCTAGTGCAGGTACTACGGACTTTGTTGCCCATCTTCGTCACGGCTCGGTGCAGGAATGGCTCTGGCTCAAGTGGATCCGGCTCTGAGCACGGTCCCGGCCACGCTCAGGATTCCCTTGAGCTGAGCCCCAGCCCAGCCACACGGCCGAGCTGCTCACTCACGCGACTTTGAAATCCACCGAGCGGCTCAGCCGAGCCGTGGTGAAAAAAGAACACGGCCCTCAAAGTGTCTCATCCAACGGAGACCTGCCCGAGGCGAGTACGAGATCCCGTGCGATGCGAGAGGTTTGATATCCCTCGCTTTGCGTGGCTCTGCAGGCGCTGACGACCGTCACGGAGCTCATCCGCAAGTACCTGGGCAACACCACAGTCTACCCGGCCGTGGGAAACCACGAGAGCTCGCCCGTCAACAGCTTCCCACCGCCCTCCGCGCCCGGCCACCACTCCTCCGCCTGGCTCTACGATGCCATGGCAAAAGCGTGGAGTCATTGGCTGCCTAGCGACGCGCTTGTCACTCTACGGTACAGCCAGTCGAAGTATTTGCCAGAGACCCCATGGGATCAGCTGTATACCAGCCAGTCACCCCATGGGTCCACCCTTTCTTTTGCACAGTCCTAGCCATCATTGTGTGCTTGGGCCACATGAGCTCTGTGGTCAAGTGGACCGGATCAAGGTAAAGCTGAGCTCAGCAAGGTTATCTTTGTGGTTTAACTATTTCTTGTTACTTTAAAGGGGAGACCTGACCAATGTAAATTAACGTGTGACCTAGGTAAAGTGTAGTGCTCGTATCAGCAAAACACAGTGCGTGTGTCTGCGTGCACCCCCAGGTTTGGCGGCTTCTACACGGCGCTGGCCAAGCCGGGCCTGCGCGTCGTCTCCCTCAACATGAACTTCTGCTCCGTGGAGAACTTCTGGCTCGCCATCAACGACACGGACCCCGCCGGGCAGCTGCAGTGGTTCGTGGATGTCCTGCAGGCAGCTGAGAACAACGGCGAGAAGGTGCGAGGGCAGCGGGGCTGGGATTTTACATTTCGTCAGAATCTGTAGCGCTGTGGAGAGGAAGTGATTTTCAGAGGCAAGAGGAAGTGGTGCAAGATTAAACGAGGAAACTGGACAGGCGCTGGGTGGTGCACTAACGTGCATTCCTGCCTCTAGGTTCACGTCATTGGTCATATCGCACCCGGGGCTGTGTCGCAAGACCTGGAGCTGGAACTACTATCACATCATCAACCGGTAGGGCCTCCATGGTCTGCCAGATGCCCTGTCACCCTGACACCCTGCCTAACAACCTATGCAACACTCTCCTACCGAACAGCTACCTGCCTATTGCCCACCTTAACACCCTGCATACATAACGCCAACTACGCAAACCCCCTGTTGTTGTGCAGCCAAGGTTTTAATTTTAAGTTTGTTATCCACAACTGTTAAAATAAACAGATGCTTGTTACACAACACTTGGCAAAACCTAGCCTCCAAAATAAATCTTCAAACAATCCCAAGCCCGAGGCAAACACCAAAAACGCTGAGCGCGCAAACGCCTCATGTCGCGCTACGTGCCAAGTGGCTACGTTCCTGCGCAGCTCCTCCCCGTCACGCCAAACGACCACCCCGCTTGCAGGGAACCACACGTTGCTCCACTTTGAGAGTGGCACTGTAGCCCGCGTGCCGTGCCTTTGGGTTCCCTTGCTGCCACAGACCTCAGTTCGAGAAAGGAAGTTGTGGCTCCGTGTTATAAACTATTGTTGCTAAATCAGCATTTTCCACAACAAAGATTGTGTGACCTAAAAAATGCAGAAGCTGACGTTTCTGTTGATCTTTAAAATATTTCCTTGTTGTCGTGAAAAAGCGTTGAGTGTGGAATGTTTGTTGTGGCAGTGGTAATGGTGGAAATTATGCCCCAGCAACCCCCAGTTTGTAGACAGTTGGGCTTAAGTGTGGAGAGGCTGTCCACCTCCAGCCAGCTGGAGGTGGACAGCGATGAATGGAACTGCCCTCCAGCACTAGAGAGAGAGCATTTCATCCGGAAGGGTTTGTTCAATGCCCTCCCTTTCCCTCCCCAGGTACGAATCCACCATTGCTGCCCAGTTTTTTGGACACGTGCACACGGACCAGTTTGAGATGTTCTACGATGAGGAGACTCTGAGCCGGCCGCTGGGCGTGGCGTACCTGTCACCCAGTGTCACCACCTACTGGGATCTAAACCCAGGTAAGCCCGAGCACCAGTAGCAGCCTCATTGGCTGAGCACAGTGCACGTGAACATTTACACACAGGAGATCAGAGAGCTGGACCCTTACTAAACTGCCTGAAAACAAGTTGGAGTTTGAGCTCAGGTTTCTGAGGCGGAAGCTGGGAATTTTGAGGCACAGCCAAATAAGTAATGCAGATGTCTGGATGTGAAACATTGCAGGTGAGTTTTGCAGATGTGATTTGGCAAAAACGTCTGGGCTGGGTGGAACGCAAGTGGAGCATGGGGGAGGAATGATTAAAAGAGACAGACACTGGATTGATCTCCACAGGCCTGACAACCAAGTGGAAGGCTTAGGCCAGATAGTGCAAGACTACTAGAGCAGATCCTGGAGACCGTAAGTCTACTGTTCCGGAGCTGCAGATTCTGGCAGAGGGTAGAAAGCATTGGTTAGGTGTGGTGGCATCATCGGGTTTGGCCGTGATGACACCTTGACCTTGGAGAGAGTGGGTTGACAGATCAGCTGTGTGGGTGCTTTCCTTGGCTCTTTCAACTCACCCTGCACGGCGCACGTGGACAGGTTACCGTGTCTACGAGATCGACGGTGATCGTAAAGACAGCACTCGCGCCGTACTTGACCACCACACCTTCTACCTGGACCTGGAAGAGGCCAACCGCCTCGACCGGCCCACGTGGCGCCTCCTCTACTCGGCCCGCAAGGCCTACGGGATGGAGGCCCTGGGCCCCGCCGACTGGGACGCGCTGCTGCACCGCATGCAGGACGACGACGCGCTCTTCGCGATCTTCTGGTGGCACCTGCACAAGGGCCACTCGTCCGAGCCGTGCATCGGGATGTGCAAGGTCGCCATGCTGTGCGCGCTGAGATCCGGCCGCTCGGGGGACCCGGAGCAGTGCGCGCACCAGGTTCGGCCCGAGCAGCACCAGGTCCTCCTGCGCATCTGGAAGGAAACCGTCCGCTGCTAGGCCGAGGAGCCGCGCTCGCTGGCGAGCGGGCCGCTCCCTTGCAGCACCAGCGCTCGTCGCGTGCGTGGTTGGTGCCATTTCAGGGTTGGGTGATTTGCAGCTCCAAGCTCCTCCCTCCACTTGGTTGACACGCAGGTTTACATTCAAGTCTCTACAAGCTTTGTCTTCTCATCCTTCGGACTCGAAGCCGAATTTTTTTGCACAGCTCTTACTGGCAGTGGTTGTTTCGAATGTTTGGAGTGGCAAAGTCCAGTCGGATGATATCACAGTGCCCCCTGATGGGGGAGCGTGCCTAAGCGGCAAGGCAGCCACATCTCACACAGATTCCAGACGTCACAAACATGGCTTCTAAGAGCTGCCTTCTGATTGGTTCCACATTTGGTTGCATTTCAAAAACATTGGGGAAATGTCAGTGGTTAATGATGAATCAACGGCATGTGAAAAGGATATTAGGCATTCTAGATTTGAAGCTTTCGTGACCGCAAGGATTCATACGCTTTGGTTTTATTCGGTAAAGTCACGCAGGTAAAACAAATTAAAATAAATTAAAATAAAAGAAACAATTAAAACACGACGTTTCGGAGGCAACGCAAGCTTCCGTCTTCAGGTGGGACAAGTCACAGCAAAATCGCTGCACTTGATACACTTGGTGCAGCGATTTTGCTGTGACTGGTCTCACCTGAAGACGGAAGCTTGTGTTGCCTCCGAAACGTGTTTTAATTCTTTATTTTGTTTTATTTTCATGTTTTACCTACGTGACTTTACGAATAAAACCAAGAGTATATTAGGCATTCTCAAGACACCAACTCGGGACGGTTTTTTAAGCAGTGCATCTATTTTGCTTAGACTAAACGCTTGTTCCAGTTGCGCTGCTAATGCAATACGCGTGTCTTTTTGCACTTTTATGCAGGCGATGGCATTTGGAAATGCCTCAATTTTGAGCACACAAAAGGCTTTCGATGAAACGGGTTTTAAACTGTAAATTCTCGCAGTGATTTTTAGAAAAACGGATGGAATCGCGGACAGTGTTAGTTTTCACTTACAAAGGCCCAAACTTCCCTTAACATCCAGATGTTATGGGTCTGCACATTCAAAGTCAGTGGTAGCTTCATGATGACGTCACGACGCGGTAACTTGCTGATTGTTGATTATAGGTTTACCTCCCAATATTGACACCGCACGTCTGACCTTCATGGTAAATCTCACGCAGATTTGTGTCTTCACAGCCACTTGCACCATGCAGGTCAGCGGGGTGCGGCCTGTAGGCATGGAGACACAGTGGTCCATGCTGGGGCCGGGGTTGAGGGTAAGAGAGGTCCTTCCTCCACAACCAGACCAAGGCTGGCCAAACGCCGTCGTTTGTTTACCCCCGGTTTGGCATGGGTATTGACGCGTGGAGTGGTGCTGAGTAGCGTTATTGAGAACGTGGCCTCCTCCAGATGCGGTTCATCTTGAGGGGCCCAGCTGCTGCGTCTGATAATACACGTTGACTTGTAGATTCCCTAATAAAGGCTTTATTAATAAAGGCTTCACTCCGTGTGTGTGTCCCGCTCACTAACAGTCTAACCATCAGCAGGTGTAGACGGGTCACGCGGC